CGAAAGGGGAAATGGAGAAAACTCAAAACCCAGAGTATAGAAGCCCGGTTTCTGACAGTTGGCCCTTGCATTTGTTTGTGTGGCCATCCCTTTAGATGCTTTGGGATGTGAGGACTTGCAATAATGTGGAAAGAATAATAAATATTAGATACCACAACCCACTCTTTTTAGTCTTGAACAGTTAGTTATTTAATGTTTTTTGTTAAAAATTTTAAAGTAATGATACGCTCAATGAAGAAAACTTGAAAAGCATAGAAAAAAGGAAATTTTCACCCATTAACGCTACTGCTCCAACACTGAAGTTTATAATTTATGGCATATTCTTTATAGCCACTTTCCCCCCATTTATTCCTTTTCTCCCTCTTTTCCTCTCTTCTATTTTTATTTTATTTTATTTTTTTAAACTTTATTAGGGAACAATGGGTTTTTCCAGGACCCGTCAGCTCTTAGTCAAGTCGTTGTCTTCAATCTAGTTGTGGAGGGTGCAGCTCCTTGTCCCATGTGGGAATCGAACCGACAACCTTGGTATTATGAGCCCACGCTCTAACCACCTGAGCCAAGTGGCTGTCCCTCCTCCCTTCTATTTTTAAATAACTGTTTCTAAGAAAAGTATTCACTATATAGAGTCAACTGATTTTAACATTTTTCACATTTGCTTCAGGTCTTTTATTTTTGTAAGAAATAAGGTATCTGTGGCCCCTGTATATGCATTTCGGAGTTCCTTCGCCTTCCTCCTTGACCAGAGGAAACCACTAATATGAAGTTGATGCTTGTCGTTCCAATCCATTGTAAGTTTACTGCATAGCTATAGAAAACATCTAGTATTATTTCCTGCAGTTTTCAATTTTATATAATTGATATCACACTATGTTTATCATGCAACTTTCTTTTATTCACTATACATTGTGTGTTGGAGATTCCACCTTGTTTCATGTATTGGGTTGTTGTAGAAGTCATGACGTGTTTTTTCTGTGTTTTTTGTTGCAAAAATGCGGCATGACTTCTGCAACAACCTGATAGATCAAGTTCACTCATTTCAGCTTTCACAGCTTTCTATCATTCATTTCCAGTAATGGTTTTATACAATTGTTTTTACTAATGGCAGCGCTGCAATCAATATTGTGGTGCATGGCTACTTTTGCACCATGCCAGGGGTTCCTGAGGCATATCAGCATGTCTAGAAGTGGAATGGCTGATGTAAAGGGTAGTTTCAGATGGAGTGCAAAAGTTCTCTCCAACCTAGTTGCACCTATTGTACTTCCACCAGCAGAACTGGAGAGAGTTCCAGTATCACAATATCCTTGCCAGTTCAATTTTTGCCAGTCTGCTGAGTGTAAATTGGTATCTTGATATGTATTGTTATGATTAATGAGGTTGAAGTTTCTTTCATATTAACATTTTGTGGTATTTGTTTCAAATGCAGGTTATTTTTCTGTGAAGTGCCTGTTCATACTTTTCATTTTTTTCTGTTGGACAAGTTTTTTATATGTTCTGAGTATATTTCTGTATTATATATATTGCAAATATTTTCTTCCAGTGTGGATCTTTAAATTTGGTTTATGTGTGCTTTATTACACTGAAGTTTTTGGTTTTTTTAAAGATTTTATTGGGGAATTGGGGGAGGGGAACAGCATTGGGGAATTGGGGAAGGGGAACAGACAAGTTGCTGTCCTTTTGTTCTTCAGTCTAGTTGTGGAGGACGTCGCTTCACTGGCCCATGTTGGTATTATCATTGCACTCTTCCAGGCTGAGGCAGATCGGTCGCCGGCCTCTGGACTGAGCGGCAGCTCTTGGCAGCTCACGCTGGCTGCCAGCCACTCATGGTAGCTTATGGCAGCCCCCTGCAGCAGGGGCTGCAGCCTACGGCGACTCACGGCAGCCCAGCTCCAGGTCGAGCTGTTGTTCACCACCTTAGCTGTAGAGGGCAGTGTCACTGGCCCTCATGTGGGATCCAAGCCAGCTCTTAACCAACGCGCCACTTGGCCGGCCCTGCACTGAAATTTTACATTATAGTGTAGTGAAGTGTACCAATAATTTCCTCTATGGGTTATGGTTTATATGTTTTGTTTAGTAGCCTTCCCGTACCTCATAATCATGCAGATATTCTGCATTTTTTCTCAAATTTTTGGCTTTCAAATGTAGGTCTGTAAACTATGTGGAAATGATTTTTTGGTATGGTGTGAGATAGGACTCAAACTTTTTATTTATATGCATATCCAATTAATCCCCACATATTTATTGACTCCCTCCCCCCCGTTTTTTAGTAATCCCATCTTATCATTTTCCACATTTGACATATAAGTCTGTGTGTGTGTATATATTAATATATATAGTTTCATACTTCATCCTGTATATAGTTTGCAGTATCTGCTTTCTCGCTTAGGTGCATTTCATACACATTTCCGATTTGAAACTTGATTAGTGGGTCCATAATAGCTTATTGATATCAGATCATTTGTTTGCTCATTCCCCTATTGTTGGAAGTTTAATTTTCATTGTAATAAACAGTATGTGATAAACGTGCCTTAGAATGCTGATGTACCGGTAAAGTAGGGCTGTGCACCCGTCTCTCCAGTAGGTCTCGGTCCCTTCCCTTCTCTATGGAAGGCCCTTCCCCCACGAGTTTACACATCTCAAGTAATTTCTCAATGAGCAGGTGTTGTGATGGTCATATGGATGCACCAATTAGATCTTCCTCCAGGAAGGACTGGTTTTCTCAACTGGAGGAAATGCTGTTCTCAGAGAGCCATCAGCTTTCATCTCCTTCAGAGATTGCCTCAGCTGTTGGCAGTGCTTCACTTAAGTTCACGTCCTTTCCAAGGTGGGCCATATCCAATGGCTGACTGAGGCAGGGATATAAAGGTCCAACCATTGCGGCCCAACATGAGAGGCTGTCATTGGGCTGACATCACAGCTAGACTTCTCCTTCTGTGCAAAGCTGCTTCCATCTTATACCTTTCACAGGTGTTGATCCCTAATACACTTCCGGTGCACTAAACGCCATTTCAGAGGCTACTTCCAGAGAACCCAACCTGTGATGGTTTTCTTCTTTGCTTAGAGCCAGGAATAAGTCCAGAGCCTCACTGCCTAGGTAGATTATATGGAGGCCAGGATGACCTGGAGGAAGAGAGAAATGCTCTTAATGTGAGACAGATCTCTTGGTGCTTATAAATGTGCCATATGGAGTTAGAAAATCCATGAATTCTTAGAGGAATTTTAGTTCTGCTCTGAATATGGAGAGGAATGAGGGCAGGGCGGGAGGGGAGGGAGGGACAGTGGAGTCTTTAACATTTCTAACGTATCCAAAATGTATTTTGGAAACTAAGATTCTTTGAGTTATATGCATAATGAAGTTTATTTTCCATTATGAAAGTAATACATGTTTCTAGTAGAAAATTTAGAAGAGAAGACAGGCATCCAATTACCATAGACTCTTTTTCTATGCATTGATTTGAATTTTATTGTTTTACATTGTTATAAATTACACCATTTATATAATTTTGTTATAGCACATTTTTCACTTGATGTTATAACATAAGGCTTTCCCCACACTATTATATATTTTTATAAACATTATTCTTAATGGCTACATCATATTATATCCAATAAATACACTATGGTTTATTTAACCATAACGTTGACTGGTCTGTTTATAGTCTTTTGCTATTATAAATGACATTGCAAAGAAATCTTTGTGTATAAACTTTTCTATATTTAATATTATTTCCTTGGGATAGATTCCCAGAAGTGGAATGACTGGATCAAGGGGTTTGAACATAGGCTTTTGATTCATGTTGCTAGATTGCTTTCCTGAAGGGTAATACAGGTTTTCATGTTTACTTTTTGATATGGAATAATGAAGAGTTTGTGTAGTTTTGTGCCTCTCTGGGTGGCCGGAGACCAGGTGAAGAAACCTGGAACAAAGCAGATCACAGAACTGGGCTTCTCTAGTTGGGAGGCCTTTTCCCAATGGACATGGCCCAGACTTCATCACCTCACCACTTTCAATTTCCATACTCACCATCTCTCATCAAGGATACAAGTGAAGCGGGGACTGTTACACATTCACTTATCCTGTATGAGGATTTGAATAACCTCATAATAGAGAGTGTCCTTCTCTGTAGGGTTGTAGGTCCGTCCCTGTAGGTAAATGTGTGACCAAGGTGATGTCAACTCAATGGTCAATGATCAGACTAGGATGTCTAGAAGGAAAGAGCTCTAAATTTAAGATTACTGTTTTGAAGTTTGGGACCTAGCACTGCTTCAAAGATTAATGATCTACCACTTACTAAAGTTCAATATTTAATATTTTTTAAATGATTCAGTTCCAACTTCCAAATGAGTTTAAATTTTAAAATTAAATATGGACTTTCTCTCTGAGGCTGTGTTTTTCCAGGGTAGCAAAACTCATAAAGTAATTTTATTTTAGCTTGTTGATAGGTTCTGAGAAAACATCCAGATTGTCGATTTTAGTCCTCATTTCCTACAAATATACTAAAGCAGCTTTATTTCTTTTGTCATTAAGACATTTGATTTGCCTCCTTATCCCCCACCCAAATTCATTTCACAGGATGGACTGATTTTCAGGTACCATAAACACCCAGTTCTACTGGGTGTTCTTTGTCTGCTAGAGAAACTGTGGGGCCGTGTCTGAGTCACACACTTTCTACTGCGTCTCCCCTGGCATGAGATTCATGTACATTGGCGTCTTCTCAGAGTGAAGTTGACTTTCTCTCTATCCCGAGTCCAGAATTTCTGTTGGCACATGGTGATTCCTAAACAGTTTGAGGCTCATTTTAATTGGCTGTGGCCATCTCAGCCTAGCCAGGTTCACTCTGAGAGGGCTCCTGTCCCTTCATGAATGGCCACAGAAGCTTTCACTCTTGGCTCTGCGTTCTAATAGCCCCTCTTGCATGGACTGTGCCAAAGCAATGCTTCGAAATATTCATCCATATCATGTGGCTTTTCTTGCTGCAGTTTCTGTTCTTTTTTTATTGTAGGATCTGGAGACTCACCGCTAGAAGACGATGAAGTCGGGTACTCACACAGTAGATATAAAGGTGAATGCTTTGCTTGTGTGCTAATGAGGACCTGCTGATGCCAAGAGAACTTGCCTTTTTGCCCTGCAGAGCAGACTATAATAAAGTGACCAGACAACACATTTTAGTTCTAATGACCTGTCCAGATAAAAATATTTACAATTCATACGCATATGCTCCCATTAAAAAAATAAAGATGAAAGAAAGAAAATGAAAGCATTTGGAAATCTTTGAAGTGCTGACCTTCAGCACCACAGTGGTCATTTTATTCTCTTAAGTTTCTGTATTTCCCTTACTTCTGCAAAGCCAAGTTCTAGCTGATGAAAGTGAAAATCAAGCCATGAGTTCTGCCTGATTCATACATTACAGCCAGAATCGTCCAGAGTAAACCACCCAAGGTCAAATCTGGACCTGATGCTGCTAATGTACTGAGATGAATGGGGACTGGGAGAACTTGATTTTCATAAGCTCATTTCATCCTGCTCTTTTTGAGTCCAGGCTGGCTGCCAAAATGATGTGTAAAGTGTGTTGCCCCATGAAACTTTAATCTAATGATTAAAGCACTCCATCTCTACACATTTCCAGCGATCCACCCCCCAGCAGGTATAAAAAGCTTAATCAAGAACCTTCTATGTAGGCTCAGGTAAGTATGTCCACAAGTATTGTATTGGTGAGTCTTTTCTCTGAAGCTTTGGGAGCCCTAGGAAAAGTGAAGGTAAATTTAGATTATTTCTCTCTGAATCTGGTTCCCATTGCAGTGGGGAAATAATTTGAAGAAAATTGGTTAATAAAGTCCCATTGTGATATTTTGCCCAGGAAATTTGTCCACATTTTGGCAAGAGGACACTGCCCTGCCCTATTGTGATATGTCTGAGTTACAAGTGAATCAGGCAGGGTAGGGCTGGTCAGTCTTTGGTTGGAGGCAGTCTTTCAGTTGTTTTCTACACAAGTGGACAATCGTTCTAATGTAATGACTGATGCCCATGTCCAGATGTGTTTTCCACCATATTCCACATTTGTTTTTGATCGTTGAATGCAAATACTCATTCCTATCCATTCCTATCCTATTCCTGTCTCAGGAATTAACTAGTCTAGTCAAGCAAAGCACAAATTTGTTAATTAGATGCTTTGGGTAAAGAGGTATTCTGATTCTTAACACTTCTTAATTAATTGAGGGTTTAAAAAATATTATTTTTTCTTTGAGGCCCTTGTTGAAAAAATATCCTAAAACACATGCATGCACATGTGACCTTTCACCCTTTACATGTACAGTAGGTATTGTCTAGTGCCCTCAAATCATTGTTCGCAGTATACATTGTCACCCCAGAGCATTGCAAACGTGGAAGGTAGACCCGATGGCCATAATATGTGCCTGCCCAAGAACTTACCTAGCATATTTAAGCATTAATACTTCGTAGGAAGTTGTTTGCATTGTCAGATTTTTAGTTGTAAAACTTAGAGGCAAACCGTTGTTCATTGGGGATTTAGCTGTAGATCCTCAGGTCCCTGCACAGTGCCTGGCACAGAATATATATTCAATAAGCGATTTTGAATTAAATTTAATTAAAAGAACAAAAATGAAATTTAACCCACATTTATTGTGTTCCCAGAATGTGGCAAACATTGCTTTTGGTTGTTTTACTTGGAATGCTATCATGTTGTTACACTAATTGAGGGAAGGGGAAGGCATGTAGAGATATGTCATTATTCTTTATTTTACAGATGAAGGAACCACAGATTAGACTTTCCCAGAGTCACACAACTAGCAAACATTATGTTTGGATCGAAAATCCGGATATTTTAACTCAATGTCCAGAGTTTGCTAGGGGTTCCTCATTAGTCTGCTAACCTCAGGTACTCCAGTTAATTGGAATGCTTACCACATTGGCCCAAGAGGATGAAAAACCTTTCCTGAATAATCAATTTTGATTTCTCCCTAAATAAACCATGTCTTAATTGAAGCAGCACAAGAGCTTCCTTTTTCTAAACCTCTATGTTAAACGTTTTGCTAATTCACTTTAACTCATGGTGCTTGTCTGCACTTCAAATTCAAGTCCCTCACTGATATTTTAATTACTATCACTGCAGGACTGCTAAACTGTCAAACTATCTCCGTGGAGAGTAATCCAAAAGAAATTCCTTTTGTAAATAAATGAAAACAAGATTCTTTCCCACACATTGACAACAGCACAGCTTTTGGATGTGCCCCCCCCCCAACACTGCTAGGAAGACTTGAAGGGTCAGAATAGGGAGCAAAATCTGCTAATTGCATGTTGTTTCAAAATATGTGAATTTGTGAGAGAAGTATTTGCAGGTCATTTTCTAATGTACCTGACAGTCTTAAATATTTGCCATGGATACATCTGTGGGAAAGACAACCAGAATGTGTGTGCTAAGAATTGCAGAATTGCTGCCTCATGTTAGTTTAAAATTGTGTTCCTCCTAAACTCATGCCAAAGTCCAGAAGCTGGAGGATGTGATTGGTTTCAACATTTGAGTGAAAAACAAGTGGAGAATTGGACACTTCCAGTTTATACATCAGTGCAATTGTGACCAGGACCCAGAATGCAAAAGCCATTTGCCCTCAGTGGAAGGGTTACAAGAGACTACTCAAAGTTATCAGTCAGAACAAGGAGTAAGGAGGTGGGCCTGGGTGAGAGATGGGTAGGGGATCGGAGAGGAAAAAGACAGTGTTTCAGTCATGCAGCTTTAAAGCTATATGGGGCTTTGAAAATAATTTCATCCACTCCCGTCTCTTGTAGATGAGATTGTGGTTCCCTGAAAAGTTGAGTGAATTTTCCAGGGTTACTAGGAGCTAGAATGTTTGCCCAGGCCCCTTGACTCTTTGCCCAATACTGTATCCACCATACTGCACTTGCTCCCAACCATTTTCATCATCTCCCTCTGGATCTCCCATATTCACCCCCACATCACCACCCTTGCCCCACCTCTAATGAGGACTTTGTCTTTTCTCTTCAGTCAAGGGTTCCACAGTTCGGCCTGTGAGATGGTGGGAAAAGAGGCAGGAAAGTGGACCCAGTTGGCAAGAGTAGAAGGCTGGAGTTGGGGAAGCACAGAAGCATTGCAGTCTAGAAGGGGAGCTGGGCAGGCAGGGAAACAGGAAAGAGACAGTGGGGAGGGTCGGGAGAAGGGTGGGGTAGGGGGAGATTATAAAGATACAGAGGTAAAGTAACAGGTGATTTTTTAGAGTTAACATCATGGACGTCCTCTGATGAACTATTGGGTTGTCGGAAAAGTCATGATGTATTTTTTTCTATGGTTTTCGTTGAAAAAATGTGGCATGACTTTTCCGACAACCCAATAGAAGAAAATGCTTCTTTGAGATTAAAAACACCAAGTGCATTTGGGAGTTTCCTTGTAGGTGATCTTTCTTATTACAGTTGGAAAAGAAAGGCAGAAAGAGAGGGCGAAAGAAACATACCTCACTTCTAGGAGTCACAGAAACCATGACACTCCAAATCTCAGTTTTATTTGAGGGGTAGGAGGTGGATTTTTCTAGAATTTATCTTAAGGACTTTTGATTCTAGAAATATCCACAGCTTGGCAGTGCTAAGCAAGCATACCCCAAGGGCTTCTTATTTATCTGTGATCTTGAAATCTAGTTTCATGGCCTACCTAGAGCCATCACCAAAGAAAGCACTAAAGCATTTGTATGTAGAAGAAATAGTGGAGACATACATACTGTTTTGTACTTTACTTCAGGGTCCAGATTATTTCATTTGAAAGTGTTAGCACAGACTATATGTGTGAACCTCAGATGAAGGAAACTTTTAAGGAAGGTCTGTAACCCCTGCTGTAAGCTCCTGGAGTCTATCCACATGGTCCAGTTTATCACTTTAACCCAGAAAGTCCAGGGATTACTGCTTGTCCTGACTTTAGGACCCACTTGCAGCTGTCTGCAAAACGCTATATCATGAGGTATTAGACAAAAGGCGACATGGCAACACAAAAGTGAAAAAGAAGTCCATGCACCAGACCTGGACATGGCTGAGAAGTGCTCAGAAACACATCCTCAGAAGAGAATTCCAGGCAGCCAAGCAGGTGTGTCCTCTATCCTGGCCACATGGTGGCGCACGAACTCCATTCACTGATAGCTCAGGTGCTGGAGTGGAGTGGAGCCAGGCTGCTATAGGCAGGGGACTCCTTCCTGTCCATGGCATTGAGAGCCTGGCAGGCTTGAGGGAGCCTGTCACTGGTTCCTATCGATTGTACAGTGGTCACTGTGGGCATTCCCCACTGAGGTGCTAGTCCTGCCCTAATAATTTTATGGCTCTCAGCGAGCACTTACCAGAGGCACAGAGGAGAGGTTCTGATTTATTAGTGTAATCCTAGCTGTATTCTGGGCTAAAAGGAGACCAAAATCATAACACCCTGAACTGCCATTGGGGAAGGATGTCACTCTCTTCCCTACATGGGGCATAACTGGGGACATCTGAAAGGGGGGTTGCTTCCCTATGGGGAACAATTGTGACTTTAAGCCAAAATTATGTCCTGTGGCAAGAACTTAAATAGGTTCACTCACATTAACTAAAATAGCATTATGAGTTTTTACAGAGAATATGCATACCGACTTGGAAAAAACCTAAATTAACCAATTCACCCCCTCCTTACCCCAGCCCTGTTACTATGTATGGGTGGTTGGGGTTAGGATTCACAATGATATCAATTGACTTCAAAAGAATTATGTATCTAGTTAAGGGAAATGCTGAAAAGAACGAGTGTTTATTGAACATTTGCTATGTGCTAGGCACTGTGGTAGGTGCTTGATATGCATGATTTTTGAGAGCCCTATGATATATTGGGTTGTCGGAAAAGTCATGACGCATTTTTGCAATGAAAAACAGAAAAAAATATGTCATGACTTTTCCGACAACCCAATAGTTATAGGTATCAACTCAGAGAGGTTAAGTAACCTGTCCAAGATCACACAGCTAGTCATGGAGGAAGGCAGACCTTATTCAGATATGTATGTCACTTAGTCCCATAATCATACCCTCCCTTCCCAGAGACACCTTAAAAGCTATGGGACACTATTTGGACGTCCAAAATCTGGAATGCAACCAGTCAGGGACTTCAAGAGTTAGGAGACACAGTTTCTGAAGATGTCCTTTTCTATTTCTTCACTTGTTTCTGCTACCTGTAGACACCCCGTGGTGCTCCCCAATCAAGGTGAAGTACGGAGATGTGTACTGCAGGGCCCCTCAAGGAGGATACTATAAAACAGCCCTGGGAACCAGGTGCGACATTCGCTGCAGGAAGGGCTACGAACTGCATGGCTCTTCCCAGCTGATCTGCCAGTCAAACAAGCGGTGGTCTGACAAGGTCACGTGCAAGCGTGAGTATCCCAGCCCCATGTTGGATCTGTGGGGCCAATCAGGGCCAGAGTTCTTTTGCTCTGAGATCAGGGCTTTTTACTAAATGTTTTGTGGTATTTGATGAGAAAAACTCCCCTTTTGAGCAGAAGCCCATGGGTTGCTGAGATATGGTGGGAATGAGATGACACCTTTCCGACAGAAGAGTGTGATCAGCTGTTTGGGAAAGCAGGCGAGAAGAGAGATTTGTTCAACAAACACAGTATGTTTACTCAGTAAGTGCTGAACCCTTTCAAGGTGTTAGAGATTTAGAAACAAGACACACATAGGCTCTTCCATCAAGGGTCTCCCAGAAGAGCATCCGAGATATCAGGGCAGAGACGTGAACCGGTGCTAAGTCGTGGGCTTGTGATAATGGAGGCAAGGACCTTTCTCCAAAGAGGTAGGGCTTAGGGAGGCAGGGAAAGAATGCTTGCTTGTTCCATGAAAGGAAGTGTGCCTCAGGGAAGAAGGTTGGAAGAGCACTGCAGGTGCTGACTTTTAGCTTCATGAAAAGTCCTATCTCATTGGGAAAACTGCAAGTGGCACAACATTGTCGAAGCACATTTTTGGTGTCATCGTTTTTCAAAACAGCCACCATTTATTGAGCACCTATTGTGTGCCAAGCCTTTCACATACATTCAATTTTTGCAATAACCTATTGATATGGGTGCCATTACTTTTTTTTTCTTTAACTTTATTGGAGAATAGCCATGGTCATTGGTTACACATTGCCTTCATGCTACGATGCCATAGTTGATTCTTAAGGAGAGCACAGCTCACAGTGGTCCATGCAGGGATTGAACCAGTAACCTTCGTGCTATCAGCATAACACTCCAACCAACTGAGCTAACCGGTCACCCCTGGGTGCCATTACTTTAACTTTATTTTCTGGGAAACTGAGGCTCAGGGCTGCAGTCGTATGATCCAGACTGTGAAGACTATGCAAGTGGGGTGACTACAGTGGTCACTTCCAGTGCTTTCCCCAGGTCCCCCAGATGCTGTTTTCCTAGTTCTGTGTCCATCCCCTAGCTTCTGAGTGCTTTGCTTTTACATGACTTGCACCTTCTGTCTTCTTCAGAGAACTTCCCTCTTTGTTCTGACAAGGAGAGCGACCCCCCCCCACCCCGCACCCTGGAGCTGCCTAATACTGACTGGTAAAAGATTATGAAAGCCCAGCTTCCTTGCCTGGAGGCAGGACAAACTCAGGCGTCATTCATGACTCAGAACTCCCTTGGGGGAGCAGACTGAGGCTGACTTTGCCTGAGATCCCACCTTGCAGGGTTTCCTTCCCTCCCTTGTCCTGCCTCCCCCATCCCTCCCTGGGAGCACTTTCTTACGAAATCATTTGCACCAAAATCTTTGTCTCAGAATCTGCTTCTTCATTTTTTTTAAGACTTTAAATAATTTTATTGGGGAACAGCCACGGTCATTGGTTACACATTGCTTTCACGCTACAATGGCATAGTTGACTCTTAGGGAGGGCGCAGCTCACAGTGGCCCATGCAGGGATCGAACCGGCAACCCTGGTGTTACCAGCTCCACGCTCTAACCAACAGAGCTAATCGGTCACCCCCAGCGTCTGCTTCTGAGGAACCTAGCCTAAGAACAGTGACTTAGCTGGGATGCCAATCCAAGCTAGTCTGATGTGAAACCTCGTGTCCCTTCTGTGCGACATGCAGCCATCCATCCATTTTTTTTCTCTAATTCTGTCCATTATATATAAATGAACTTTTCACCCAATGCTTTCAGAGTTTCTGGACTCAAACTCTATGGACAAAAACTATGAAATGCTGAATATCTTGTTTTTTCTTTTTCAGAAAAGCGATGTCCTACCCTTGCCATGCCAGCAAATGGAGGGTTCAAGTGCGTAGACGGTGCCTACTTTAACTCTCGGTGTGAGTACTATTGCTCACCAGGGTACACACTGAAAGGGGAGCGAACCGTCACGTGTATGGACAACAAGGCCTGGAGTGGCCAGCCAGCCTCCTGCGTTGGTAAGACAATATCACAGCCCTCGGGAGGCATGCACTTTGGGAAGAGCAAGAGGCGTTCATCCAGTGGATTTGAAAGGAAGCATCAATATGCCACGTGTAAATCATAAGCACTCAGCTTTGCTTTTGGTAGCTGCCTTCATCCCTAGTTGTCTGTCTCAGCCCAGACCTAACCTCAGTCTGTATCCTCCAGCTGACTTCACAGCTGATGGCTTTCATCTGACGTTTGTCTCTTTTCTTGGCTTGCTATTGAGACAGCTGCAGGCTGGCAGAGGGAGGGCACATCCCCGCTGCTTTAGGTCAAGGATCTGCCTTGTAGTTGAGCAGAGTTATTGACATTTGCAGGGATGGTCCTGCGGAGAGCATCTCAGTGTCTTTCAGTCTGCAGATGTGTAGTTCCTTTGTCGTGGATTCTGCTAGTCAGCAAGCACTCAGTTTGCTTAGTTGGAAGGGATTTGAATATATTACCTTACTCTGGGTTTGTTGAGCAGTGATTCTCAGGTATTGTCCTGGGAGCAGCAGCATCACTTGGGATCTCTTTAGAAATGCCAATTCTCAGGCCTGCTGAATCAGAAACTCAAGGGGTGGGCCCAGCACTTTTGCTGTAATGAACCCTCCAGGGGGTTCTGAAGTGAAATAAGAGAGCCACTGATTTAAGGCAGTGCTTCTCAAACTTGAACGTGCATCAGAACTACACAGGGACCTTGGTAGAAATGCAGATTCTAATCCAGCAGGTCTGGAGTGGGGCTGGGAGTCTGCTAGTTCATGCTCTAGTGCAAGGTCTCTGAACCTTGGCACAGTGGACTTCTGGGGCCAGATAATACTTTGTGTGTGGTCCTGTCCTCTGTACTAGAAGATGCATAGCAGGTCCTTGACCTTGTACTCACTAGATACCAGCAACATCCTCCCATCCCCAGTTGTGACAACCAAAAATGTCTCCAGACATTTTAAAATGTTCCCTGGAGGGGGTTGGAAAGAGAAAAATCAACTCCTTCGTTGAGAAGCACTGCCCTAGGGGCAGTGGATCCCCACCCTGGCTACTTACTAAAATCACCTGAGTATCTTTTAGATGCTAGTCTTGCCTTGGGCCTACCCTAGAGGCTCTGATTTATGTAGCCTGATATGGGACAGCTGGAGGAGACAAGCTTCCCAGGTGGTTTTCATGTGCAGCGAAGACCTAGCACCATTATTTGAGAACAGTGGTTCTGGAAAACTGGTCCCTTGACCAGCAATGTCAGTGTCACCTGAGAACTTGTTAGAAATGCGAATTCCCAACCCCACTCCAAACCTGCAGGATTAGAAACTCTGGGGTGGGGCCTAGTTATCTGCATTTTTTCAGAGCCCCTCCAGGGTATTCTGATGCTCTAAAGTTTGAGACCCTGCTTTAACAGATCAAATATGGGAAGAACTTGAGTACCTTTATATTCAAAATAGTGCCATTGGACCAGCAGCATCAGCACCAGCAGGAAGCTTGTTAGAAATATACAATCAGGAGACCCACCCAAAACCTGGCAAACCAAAATCTGTATTTCAGTAAGATCCCCAGGGGATTCCTGTGCCCTTAAAACGTTGGGGCAGACTGATCAAGGGCAGTGGTTTTCAACTCTGGTTGCCATTTCAATCTGAATCTCTGGGGCCCAGATGTTTTTCCGAAGCTCCCCCAGATGTTTTTCCAAAGCTTCCCCCAGACGTTTTTCCAAAGCTCCCCCAAGTGGTTGAGAACCACTGTCCTGGGAATCATTTACTCATAAACTGTTAGAAATGCCAGGACCCACCATTACAGACTATTTTAGTCCAATACCCCATTCTACACATGAGGCCTGAGAGGTCACCTGACTTGCTCGACTTTGCATAGAGCCAAGCCTTTATCTCCAAGCTCGCAGGCCCAAAGTCCCTGAATCCAGGAACAGCTCTGGTACTGATGTGCTAAGGCAGCTGGCCATAGGAGCTTGGCTCCTACCCTGCTGGGACCTGCCCATTCTCCAGAGAACTGTTCAGCTCAGTCTGCTAATGTGCTTTACCCCAAGTACTCCTTCCTGCCTGCTCAGTGTCTGGAACAAATCTTTCAGGAGTAACACTGAAATTGGATGCTAGCCTTTGAGGGCAGATGTGCAACAGCGCCTCTGGCCTCGGTCCCAGGGATGTCTTCATGGTGGCACCACTGTCCACTGTTTCCTTGGCTGCATCAGCCAGCCTCACTCTGCAGTTATGTAGTAAATGAGGAACTGGCCCAAGATGTGATCAAAACCCTTCCTTGTATACCAAGAGTCACAGCCTTGGCTATTCCTTGATGAGAGCACCAGATCCAAATAATTACTCAGATAACTGACTTAGAATTACTGTATTTTGCCATGTATAATGCGCTCCCGTGTATAATGCACACACATGTTTTTGGCCCAAACTTTTCAGGGAAAAAAATCGTTCAAATTTTTTAATTCAAAAAATTTTCTTTTTCTAAAGATTTTAATTGGGGAATTGGGGGAGGGGAACAGACAAGTTGCTGTCCTTTTGTTCTTCAGTCTAGTTGTGGAGGACATCACTTCACTGGCCCAGGTTGGTATTATCATTGCGCTCTTCCCAGGTGAGGCACTTGCTCGCCGGCCATTGCTCACGGGGGCTCACAGAAGCTCACGCCAGCTGCCGACCAGCCCTACTGCAGCCTATGCCGTCGCCGGCGACTCATGGCAGCCCAGCTCCAGGTCAAGCTGTTGTTCACCTTCTTAGCTGTACAGGGCACAGCGTCACTGGCCCTCATGTGGGATCAGAACCGGTGCCCTGCTGCTCAGAGCTGGCGTCCCAAGCCAACTCCTAACCAACGTGCCACTCGGCCGGCCCTAATTCAAATTTTTATTTGTATACAGTTAGGTACTTGCTTTTTGTATTATAAAGGAATTTTAGCATTTATTTTTTTAACATATTATGGTACAAGAAATTTTATGTAACAAATAATTACAAAACACAAGAACCAGATACAAAGGACAAGAAATTTTATGAACCAGTAACAAATTTGTGATGTTTACGCTTCAGAAGGCCAAGAACATTTCATCGTTGCAAATTCATCATAAGTTCAACAAAACTGATTATCGTATTCCAGGGTATTATTTTGCATGCGGATATCATTATTGATTTCTAGAGTTACACTTTTAACTCATAGGCATAAATAAAAGAATTAAAAACATTTATATAGATACGGAATTAGTACTACACATGTATAATGCATATCCCTATTTTTCCCTCACAAATTTGGGCAAAATATTGTATATTATACATGGCAAAATGGTATTCTGGACTCATCTTTTTCTAGGATTTAGGTAGGAGTTTGTGTTGGTCAGTAATTGGGAAAACAGAAACCAATCTAGGTGTTTCAAACAGAGGGGCATTTAATATAGGGAATTGGTTACAAAAGTACAGGAAGAGTTAGAGGAGCAAAAGAGGAAAAACACTTGTCAGAGATGAGCTACAGCAGAAAGCCATCCCAACAAAGGGCTGGAGGTGCACAAGTGGAATAGTAGTGTTATCCAAAGTCCATAAGTCCACCCTGTAACTGACACCATCATTGATGAGAATGAGGTCACGAGCCCACATTCCTGCTGATATTTCAGGAGCCCAGGAAATCTACATTGAAACTTCTACAAGAAACATAATGGTTTTCACCTTTTTCCAGCCTTCTATTCACATGGGCGTGCCTCCTGTTGGCAAACCTATCTGGAACCCAAGTGGCAAAAGGAATCTGGGAAATGTAACTGAGACTTTCAGTCCAGGAAGTAAAGGGGAGATTATAGAAAAACTTAACATCAACAGACTATTTGGCACAGCAGCCTTTTCCTGTGTTTTAGATTTCTCCCCAGAATCATCATAGTTGTCAGTGAAGAGAACACTGCAAAGCAGTCCTGATTACCCTGTGCAGGTAGAATGGTGCTGAGGCTGTGAACTCTGGACAAGGTGCTCTTGAAGGACATAACCTAAGGCCAGATGTTCAGGTCAAAAGGGCCCCTCACAGATGTTGCTTTCAGTATCTTTCCTGTGACTTGTTATGTGCAAGCTAGCTCTTCAAAACAATCCCAACAAGTTTGGAATCTCTCCTTCTTCACATTGGAAGGAGCAGAGGGGATGGGAGGAGATGCTCAAAACTCTTTCTGCTTAGCAAGCATTGGCAAAGAGTTCTCTAGGGTTCACACTGTTCAGATATCCAGATTGTGTGCAACAATGGAAAAATAATGCTAATTATGCTCAAAAAGCAACAGCATGTCTTAAGCTGGACCAGATGGGCCTGGAATCTTCCCAGGGGGAGAGACAAAGAACCACAAAATGAACCCCAATTTCAGGGGATTGAGAGTTTGCCAGGGCAAGGTTCAGGCACATTTGGGGGAAGGGGAATTGTACTGTACATGCAATTAGGTAGGAATGGCTGAAAGGGTACCAGTGAGCCACATGGAGGATTGATCTCCCATGAAAAATAGAGAAATGGACAAAGCAAGCAGGCAATTCTTTCTTTGATTTTGGTGATGCATTAGCTGGAATTTGTCCCCAGTGAATTTTACTCCAGGGCTATCACTGACTCTTTTGGCTTTAAATGTATTAAATTAGTTTAATCAGTTTGTGTGTTGCTGGGGCAGGGGGGGCTTTGAGCATAACCCAGAGTCTTAGCCTATTTTAGGAGCTGACACATGGTGGCTGAGTAGTTCCCAGATTTCCACACAACCTTGAACAGTGCATCTTGGCCAGAGCTGTGCTGAGTGCTGAGAAAACTGTCCCAGTTCTCTAGGCCTGGAGGGAAGAGAGAACGCTGGGCTGACTTTTGACTCAAAGGTGGTCAGATCTGTGGTTTGGCAAATTTGAAAGTACCACAAGTTAAAATTAATTCTCTTATGCAGACCACACTCTGGCAGTGGACTCAAATCCATGGTTATTTCAGAAACAGATGTTGATAGAAAGAAGTTAGTGTAGGAGAAAAAACACAGCAAATTGCAGGAGGGCAAAATATTGAAAGAGCCACAACCTCC